CTCGCAGTCTTGAGATGGTAGTGGACGGCGTTTAGGTTAGAGTGAAGTCCCCTGATATTGCAGAAATTCACGGACAGCGTGGCAGGGGTCGCCTTGGTCTTGTTGCTCCGTTTGCCCCGAGCAGTTTTAGTCTTGAGCGGAATATTGCCCCCCCCCCCCCCCCCCAGAATACGCGGGGCAGCCTGAGCACCCACGCTCAGAAGTGGAGAAACATGGTCGTGGATGCTCAGCGAGGGATTCTCCAGGGGTGCTGGTACCCTCCTGGGGTAGTCTATCATTTAATTCCGCTACCATGTTGATGGGGGGGGGGGGGATTTGGGCCTCCGGCCACCTGCACTCACCAGACGAAACGCGGAAGCAGAGCTTCCACTTCACGCCGGTATTCTGTGAGGTCGTGGTACCACCCCGGTTTGAGCCGGCCCATACGTGCGACAGCAAAGCCGCCGCGTGGCTCTACTACTGTTAACTTTGGAAAATTTTCTTTTATACACGAACTCCCTCCATACTTAGACAATTTTTAACTAATTTTCTATGTTATAAATGGTATTTATCTTTATTTTTATAATATTTTCGACTTGTATTTCTATTATTTATCATATTTTAAATATTTTTACAAGTTTTTTTAATAAATTTGTTTATTTTGAAAGACAATATTTTGCCTTAAATTTACTATAATACTCAATGTCTGAAATGTATTTATTTTTAACTTTATGCTTTTATTTTATTGTTTAATATATATCTTTCAAGATTATTTTTCACGCCCCTTTATATTGAATTTAATTATTAATAATAATAATGGGCCGTCACAATATGTTCGAAAAATAGATACGGTAAGCTTAGTAAAATTAATCTTTTCAGTAATTGCACAACCTATTTTCATTTTATAATGTCACTTTGAAAATTTGCTGGTTCTTTTTATAACAGAGGTATTTTTCGAGCCAGTGGTAAAAGTAAAAATGACATTTAATAATAATTATTTTTAAACTATATTGAATAAAAAATACTCTATACTTTCTTAATAATCCCAAAATTTATTCTTGTACTCGTATTCTACCTGAATTTACCAGCAGAATCGAATGCGGCAACTGGGTCACATCCTCACTAAATTTCTTTTGTGAATTTGGTGCAATAATCTTGTTTATATCAAACAGAGATTTGGCAAATTTATTGTTTTTCAATGTTTATTGACGATATCAGTAACTTTCAACCACATGTCCTACCTAAGTTATTATTAAAATCATATCCACACTAAAATGCTGAGTATTGACATTGACATACTTTTACTCCTTCTTTCGAGCCCTTAGGATTTTTTATAGAATACTCGAGACAAACGAGCATAGTGTCCACCTCAATTAAAAATCAAAACGCATAATATGCGTTGTCACCCCCTTTTTTTCTGTTACATGGGGAAATGCCTACGCATACCCGCCTCGCGGGGGGAAGGACGGGTTATGTCGGACTCGCACCGACTAAAACCCCATGGTGTTCCACCTTTGTCGCATATTGGCAGGGCTACGGGAACGCTTTCGCACACATCCGCGGCCCTACTAGCGCCTGCCGCCCCATGGCAGCACCTCCTCGGGAGAGGAAAACTCCTCCCCGTTCTCCTTCTAGGTAAGGCGCACCAGAACACATGGCGCGCCTTCCTCCACGGCCTCCAATTACGTCTGTGCAACAGACGCCCCCGCGTCCCATGCACAAAGGCCATGGGGCCAGGAAAAACGAGCACTTAGAAGTACTAGCCTTCCCGACCCCAGCGGCGGATCCGGTCTATTGCTCCGCCGCCAACCAAGATTCGGCTGCGGAGGGTAGGGAGAGCGGCGCCTCGCAATACCGACAATCCTCTCCCCCCGCAGCCCCACCACCACCGCATCAACGGCGCGGCCCCGCTTGAGTCGCGGAGGATAGGGCGAGTGGCGCATCGCCATACCAACACTCCTCTTCCTCCGCGACTCCACCTCGGCTGCAGCGGTAGGTGGGGAGGACACACCTCTCACCGCAGTCCACCAACACACATCCAAAGTGGGCTCCCCAAGCCCACTCGGAGCGGCCACCTCGGGCCGGCCCTCCACCTCGGACCAGCCATATGGGTTCCTCTTTGTTTCGCCGTGGGTGACCAAGCCACGGCTTCTAAGCCCCCCCGCCACGACAAGGCGGGAACCCGTTCGGGGGGGGATGCGTTGTCACCCCTAAAGACTAAGATGGAATGCCTCGTATCCAGTAAAAAGGTTCTCCGCTTCTCTACACTCACCATACGCAACATAGCAGTATTAAGCTGCTATTTTACGCTAGTGTTCTGTACGTCCACAGCAACATGGGTCTTTCCTATTGTGTTACTTCACCTCGTCCTCGGTCCGTGTATTTTACAATAGGACGTAGACAAAATGATTATACCGTCATCTATCTGAAGATATAAGATATTTCTGGTATGATATCCCAAAATCGCCTCTTACGACACACACAGGATGAAATGGGAAGATATACAATACAAGGTTGGCTACATCTTGAAGCGAGCTTCCATTAAAATACAATATAAGCCGCCGAAGTAGATTAGTCAATTTTACCATCCATCAAGTGTAATATCTCTCCACAAGATGCAGGAGTGTACAAGCTAGATTGTGAATGTGGTCTCTCTTACATAGGACAAACAAAAGAAACTATAAAAACCTATGTGAAAGAACTAATAGCAGACGTGAAATACCGATGCTCCAGTAAGTTTGCAGTCCGTGCATATGTTTAAGATCGTTCTCACCATTATCAGATTTGATAAACTACAAATCTTCGCAAAAGAACACCGATTCCTACCAAGGATGATACGCGAGGCTGTTCAAATTTTTAAAAAAATCCTAATTTCAATACAGAAGCTGCCATCTGCTTGGGATCCTTAACTGCAAAAAGAGTAAGTTGTAGCACGAATGGGTCGGCTCGACCGGGGAAGGACCACGCTCTCACAGAATACCAGCGTGAAATAGTAGCTTAATGCTGCTGTATTTCGTATGGTGAGTGTAGAGAACCGGAGACCCTTTTACTAAAAGCATTCCATCTCAGTCCTCACGTACAACGCTCTGCATTGATTTGTAATGGAAGATAGATGTAGATGTCTATGGGCCGCAGCAACCACTTACCATCAGGTGGACTGTGTGCTCGTTTGTCACCCTATCCTATAAAAAAAAACCTCTCAACTCGCTAACGGTCTCATGAGACCGCGGCCATATTTCGTCAAATCCCTTGCGGTCTCATGAAGTCGCACCCATCCACAGCACTTTAACCCATAAAAACTTATATATAGAGACTACTCTTCTATGAAGAAGTTTGGCATTATATAATCAATATGAAATACTTTATCCTCTAGTGCAATAAGAAAACTGTTGTCCTATGAACATTTATTTTCGTATCATATTTACGTTCATTTCGTACGTCATTTTCGCGTGAATGTTATTGTGACGATTTTTGGATTATTCTAGTGTATTATTAGTTTTTTAGTATAGTGTTTTATAATAAAATTGTAATAAAAGTTTTTGTGTGAATATAGTTTATCTTTTTACGTAAATTTATTTCGAGTAATATATATTGAAATAATTGTGATTTTCACGCTGCCGACATTCTCTTGATATGTTATTTTTTTTTAATCAAAATACAATAAAATCTTTTTGTAATGAAGTAAAACCTGACTTTTCTTTAGACCACAATTTTGTATAGATTTTATAACGTTAAACTTCTTCATAGAAAAATAGTCTCTAAATATAAGTTTTAATGATTTTAAGTGTTGTGAGTGGGTGCGGACGCATGCGACCGCTCGAGATTTGTCGGGCGCATGCGACTACATGGGATTTTTATAACGCTTAAAGGGTTAACAACATTAAATCCAAACCCAAGAATACCACTGCAAGACTTCAAGACACTGTAAGCTCGTTCTGCGTAGATTGGACCAAAAATTAATATTCAAAAACTGAAGGTAGCCGGGTTAACTATGACATTGGGACGTCAAACATCTAATCTTCCTCGTATCATGGGTGCTTTAAAACCCCCGAAACGTCGGGGATTAAAAAAAACACGTTCATTAAATGCGATAAAATCCTTAAAAATAGTTTTATTTAATGTGATACGTCGCCATCATACGATTAAGTGCTTAATTTTTTTAGTTTTCACTTATTTTAAAGGAGCTGCTATTTCATTGAGACGTTTTACTTTACCGTGTTGTAGCGATGTAAGAATATCTGCTACCCCATATCATCCCGTGGACGTCGTAAGAGGTGACGAAGGAAAACAAACAGCGAGATGGGCAGCAGCGTCTGTAATAAGAACCAAACAACATACGGCCGTTGCCAACCCACTTGCGAAGCGTGGCAACTGTGGTAAATATCAATCCTATGAGGTTACCCATGGGGGAGTTTGTCATTTGCATTTGCAGCAGTATATTTTAATAGGCGGTAACGGTAACTTTAACGGTTTTACATTCATAAATTGTTCGTTTCATAAACATTCTCTTGTGCAGTAATAGAAACTTTAAACTTATAACATAGACACTTAAAAATAATAAATGCAAAAATATAACGTATAATATATTCACCTATATATATATTCACCTATATATATATATATATATATATATTCACCTATATATATTCACCTATATACATATTCACCTATATATCGTCGGTCGAAAACAGTAGTGGAACATCTCTGAAAATTTGGTTTTTAACTTTTTAAGAGTGTTACATTACTATTTCAGTGCCAATTCTATATCAGTATCGGAATAAGTCAAACTCCACATAGAAGTCGATTAAAAATAAAAGTTCCACTTCTACTCTGTGCATATAGTATTATTCAGTATTGGGACACTTCGAAATGTTCCAATACGGCACTCAAAATCAAAAGTTGAATTAAATTTGTTCCACCACGCTTCTCGATCGCGCTCGAGTCTCGCGCGCGTTTGTTTAGTTACGCACTGCATGCTGCGATTGGTAGACGTATGGTCAAAAGTAATACAATCTGCAAAAATGTCTGTGTCTAAGTTATATGGAAGATCAATGAAAATGTTGCAAATGGTAATCCATGAAGACGCCAATATTGAAAACAAAGGTGTGTATTCTATTTGTAACGTTTGTGTATTTTGTAAAGTGTCGTCACTTTTAAAATCTTGCACGCTTTGGCTATATTTTTAACCACTTTTATTCTACAGAAAGTGAGATAAAGCAAGTTGAAGAGTATTCTTTGCCACAAAATGAAGTACAAAGTCTAGGTAAATAACTTATGTGTTTTATAAGATATGCTTATTTATTAACTTTTGTGTTTTATATCTAATACATGTTATTAAACATTTTTTCCTATTAACTGCTTTTATTGCTTGTGAGATGCTGAACAGATATTGAACATAGAAAAATCTCCAGGCACTATTTTTATATCTAATAATAATGAAGTTGGTGAGATACAGCAATATGTTGAAGAGAATCCTTTGCCTATGAATGAAGTACATAATCGGGGTACGTACCTATCTTCATGTATTTAAGTACATAATAGAGGTACTTACGTACCTATCTGTATATATTATTTTTGTGTTTTGGTATAGTGTGTATATTTATTTAACTGTTTGAATTTCTTTTAAGGTGTTGAGCAGGCAATAAATATGGAAAGTTGTATAGACTATAGGTTCGTAGCCAGCCAGCATGAGCCAGCAAATGAAGCTTCTAATCTAAGTATGATTTTTTATACTATTTTAATAAACTAGCTTGCTGCCCATCAACATGTATTCCATAGTTCTAAATTATTTATGCAATAGCTTTATACGAAGTCTTTGTTTGCTTAGGTGGCGAGCTTATTGAAATTTTACGGGGAGGAGAAAATAAAGAAAATAATATAATAAATAACAGAGAGCCGTCACCATCAACCCTGCTTTCTAAAAATAATGCTTCGGAAGAAAATAAAAAGTTGACAAGAAAGAGACAACGAAATCCCAAGGCATGGAAGAAAAATAAAAAGAAATGTTTAAAAAATTCAGGTATAGCATACACTACTGAGAAAGGAAAATTAGTTAATGCTAAACAATTAAAACCTGGTTGTGGAGACAAATGTCGGTTGAAGTGTACATTTAAGATTAATGAGCAGCAAAGATTAGTAATATTCAAAAACTTTTGGATATTAGGTGATTCGAATAGACAGCGAGATTTTGTCAAAAATGCTATGAAAGAAGTAAAACCGAAATATTCGCTACATAATGCTCAGAGTAAAAGATCTATTAATGCGGCTTATCATTTAACAGTAGATGGTATAATTATAAGGGTATGTAAAAAGTTCTTTATGCATACTTTGGACATTGGGCACTCATTTAGAACGACGGCATGTAAGAAAACAACATCATCGGGTATAGTTTTAGAAGATTTAAGAGGTAAGCATAACAAGAAAGGTAAGCTATTACCTGTCTTTGTTAAGGATGGAGTACGTGAACACTTAAACTCATATCCTACTAAGGAATCGCACTACTGTCGATCATCATAAAATAAACAATATTTTGATAGTGATTTAAATCTATGTATGATGTACAGGCAATACAAAGAGTGGTGTAATAAAGAAGGTAAGCCTGAAGCTAAACAAGGAACGTATGAAAACATTTTTAGAACTGAATTTAATATAGCTTTTCATGTACCAAAGAAGGATCAGTGCTATCTTTGCTGTTCTTACAATAATGCAACAGAACAGAAACAAGAAATGGAAAAGAGTTATAAAGATAATCTTACAGAAAAAGATCTTTGCAGAGAAGAGAAGAGGATAGATATAGAAACATGCAAAAATAACAAACAAAAGATTATTTGTTGTTATGACATGCAAGCGGTTCTTCAAACTCCAGCGGGTAATGACTCGATATTTTTTTTATAAGAGACGCCTTAATGTTTATAATTGTACCGTATATGACATCGTTAATAAATCTGGACATTGTTATTTATGGGACGAAACTTTGGGTGGAAAAGGATGTGACGAGATAGGATCTTGTATTTTACAGTTTTTCAAAGATTTTTGTCATGGAAAACATGTTATATTTTATACCGACAATTGCTCAGCACAAAATAAGAATAAGTATTTATTGTCATTATACTATTATGCCTTAAAAATGTTGGGTGTGAAATCCATAACACATAAATATTTAGTTGTCGGGCACACTCAGAACGAGGGTGATAGCGTTCATGCTACTATGGAAAGAGAAAAATCCCGAGTATTAAAAAATGGTTCCGTGTTCATGCCATCTCAATGAAGGACAATTATACAATGTGCTAAGAAGAAAGGTAATCCCTACCAAGTTCATGATTTAGATTATTTAGACATTTTTGATTTAAAAGAACTAATTACACATTTTGGGAAAAATTTTACAATAAATACAGAAGGAGAGCGTGTAGTGTGGAATGATATCAAGAAAATATTTATGCAAGCTACTAATCCTTTCGCTATTTATTACTTGGATACTTATCAACCTGACAGTACAATGAAATGCCTCAATGTCCGGCACAAAATGCGGGGCAAACATTAGTTTTGACAAATAAATATCGCACTCGTCCTGGAATATTAAATCTTAAAAAGAAAGATTTGATTTCATTATGTGATGGTAACGTAATTTCAAGCGTTTAGTGGGATTATTATAAAACATTGCCAGCTTCCTCAGATAGAGCTGACGATGACTAATTGTTCTCTTTTTTTATATTTACTTACTTATAAATAAAAAAATGTTATAAAACTATAAAAGTATTTTATTAATTATTCTCTAAAAATGCAATTATTTACTAAGGTTCTCTAGATTTCATTTTATTTAGGTCATTATTTAAGAAAAATACATAGTTTTTTAATTCAGTACTGGTACATTCAAAAATAATCCATTACCAGAGGGATATTTGCAGTCAATAAATTAATTCAGTAGTGGAACATTTCAAATATTTACTTATACTTAAAAAACAAATAATAAAAAATTAATGAATTTAATAGAAATCATAAATGTAAAGTATAACCAAGATATAACAACATTAAAAACAATCTTTTTTTCTCTTAACACTCGCTAAATGGAAAAATAAGTATTTCTAATTTTTAATTGCTCAATATCTCACATTTACTCATTTTGAAATGTTCCACTACTTTTTTCGACCGACGATATATTCACCTATATATATTCACCTATATACATATTCACCTATATATATTCACCTATATATATTCACCTATATATATTCACCTATATACATATTCACCTATATATATTCACCTATATACATATTCACCTATATATATTCACCTATATACATATTCACCTATATATATTCACCTATATATATTCACCTATATACATATTCACCTATATATATTCACCTATATACATATTCACTTCTATATATATTCACCTATATATATTCACCTATATACATATTCACCTATATATATTCATCTATATATATTCACCTATATACATATTCACCTATATATATTCACCTATATACATATTCACCTATATATATTCACCTATATACATATTCACCTATATATATTCACCTATATACATATTCACCTATATATATTCACCTATATATATTCACCTATATACATATTCACCTATATATATTCACCTATATACATATTCACCTATATATATTCACCTATATACATATTCACCTATATATATTCACCTATATATATTCACCTATATACATATTCACCTATATATATTCACCTATATATATTCACCTATATATATTCACCTATATACATATTCACCTATATATATTCACCTATATACATATTCACCTACCCTATATATTCACCTATATACATATTCACCTATATTCTATATATTCACCTATATATATTCACCTATATATATATTCACCTATATATATTCACCTATATACATATTCACCTATATATAGCCACCAACAAATACACCAACCAGGGAACATGGTCAGAAAATCGAGTTGTTGTTACCTCCAAACGCAAATTGCATACTAAATGTATCTAGATTTGAACTCTCAAAGTAATGCAAACCTAGGTATTTATATTATTGTTGATAAATATAAATATCACACTGAACTATTTAAGTTAACTTTAATAGTAGTTCACTGCCCAACACATATTTTTACGTGATAGTGCCACGTTGCAACTTTATAATGGTTATAGCACGAATGGATCGGCTCGACTCGGGCATCAGCCATGCTATCACAGAATACCAGCGTACAATAGCAGTTCAACGCTGCTTTAATTCGTACGGTAAGTGTACAGAATTGGAGCTCCTTTTAACTCGAAGGTAAGCATATAATTTCAGTCGTAACGAGTGACAACGTCTCTGCATTTTTATTATAAATTGAGAATAAATGTAGATGTCTATGGGCCTCAGTATTCACTTACCATCACGTGAACTGCGTGCTCGTTTGTCATCTTAGTCTATAAAAAAAGTAAATGACCGCCTAGTGCCGCTGTAGGAATATCCAACTAGATGACTGGGCGACAGGGGAAAACAAACTAAGAGATACTTTAATAAATAAATCTTTATATTATATACTTTAATGAAAAAAGTATTTGATATAGTTTTTTCAAGCACAAGTTAGTTATGCCAGTTAATCTACTTCAGAGTAAGTAGTACCCTCATGGGGTCATGTATACACTTTCACAACAAATTCCCAGAAAATATGCAGGCCTTATCTATCCAAAAGTTTAAAATAAATATTAATAAATAAATTGTTTTGTTAGGGTTTTTATACTACTGAAGAGTATATACATTATACATCATGGTCATTATCATGATCATGATAATAACCATATGCTGTTTCTAAATGTTTTCATACTAATTGCATAAAATTACATGTCATAAAAAGCTTAAATGGTTTTCAATAACTATTGTTATAATCTATATTGAATAAAAATTATTCTATATTATTCTATTCGTAAAGAGTTTCTAGGATATACGGTGATTAAATAGAAATCTGAGCACAGAACCTTCATTTCGAGAGTTTAGAATAGCGATCTTGGTTCATACCGAACAAATCTGTGTGGCGAAGAGATTTTTGATTCCCATATCGACGTCTACCTGCGCTTCTGATACGTTACTCGATTATTATAATAAGTGACAGGTGTGACTGTTGGGTGTGTGGCTTATGAAATTATATAAAAAACGTAATAAAGCCATGCTGCAGCTGGATTATGGTTGTAGCACGAATGGGTCTCTCACAGAACATCAGAGTAAAATGGCAGCACAATGTTGCTGTGTTTTGTATGGTGAGTATAGAGAGCCAGAGACCTTTATTACTGGAAACGAGGCATTCCATTTTAATTCTTGGGGGTGACAACGCATCTTCATTTTGATTCTTAATCGTAGATAGATGTAGAGGTTTATGGGCCACAGAATTCATTTATCTTCACGTAGACTGTGTACCCGTTTGTCACCCTTATTCTATAAAAAATACATACTTAAATGTATTTTTAATTATTTTTAGGTAAGTTTAAATATTTTTCTACATATAATATTGTATTTTCTTTTTCTGTCATCATTATCAGCGTCACAGCCTGCCATCGACCTTGCTGAACAAACCCCCCAATGAACGCCACAAAGTGCGGTCCTAAGGCACCTACATACATCGACCTCCTTCACTTCCACGTCATAACTTCATATAGTGGAAGGTGGCCCTAAATATTGTTACCGGTAGCCTCTTTTCTTTCGTTGCAGTTCTTAAATTAAATAAAAAGTTGTTTACATATATTGAATTTAATAATAAATATAATAATAAAGCTTTTTTTGCTTTCGACACATTAATTTAAAAAGTCTTGTTGGTATAGCTTTGAACTTTATTTCAATTTAAACTTTGTTTCCATCCCTAGAACAAACAATTAATTAACCACTGAAAACATACCAACAGAGTTACGGTAGAACATTTGAAATTTTGAAATTTTGAGGTTTGAAGTAAATTGAAGCCTACTTTAGTACATATTTTATTGATACTAACTTTTTAATGATTTCGTTAACAAACCCTGCAGAAATTTTACACACTGCATGTGACAGGTATAATAACTTAAAAAACATAGCATCGTAATACGGTACTCTAAATACACAAATGTGTATTAAGTGTTTTAATTCAAAAGTAATCTGATATATAATAAGCGTGCAACTTAAAACATGATTTTATAATAGCATGTTTTATCTTTGCGAATTTTGTTTACTTTTAATATTTAATTTATTTAGTTTGATTTAAATATCTTGATCAATGAGGCGGCCACGTCTTGGCGGAAGTATTCACCGCGCTGCCACGATGCGTGTTGGTGGACTGCACCTGTCCTTGAACTTATTAATTAATTGATTTTTGATTTAATGATGCATGCAGATGATGCTATATATATTAGGTTTCAGAACATGTTATCCTTCAGCATTCTAAAAGGGACTGTTTTCGATCGATGTTGGACAAATTTCTTGTCCAACGCTAAATAAAAATGTTCTATTACGGCATAATATGTCATTCTGATCTTAATCCTGCTCT